ATTATTACTAATACTATTACTATATTACTATTACTATATTACTATTATATTATATTATTACTATTACTTATTATATTATATTATATTATATTATATTATATTATATTATATTATATTAATTACTAATACTATTACTATATTACATTACATTACATTACATTACAATATTATATTATATTACATTACATTATATCATATCATATCATATTTCATTTCATTATATTATATTACATTACTATATTATATTATATTATATTATATTATATTATATTATATTATATTGTTGCTTTGCTTTCCCCTTCCAGGCTCTGAGGGCGAAGGATCCGAACGCCTAGCTTTCTGCTTGCGGGGAAAAGGGGGAAATCCGCCCGCTTCCTTGGCGCTGCACGGCGCCACCCTGACCCCGCGCCCCGTCCGTGGCTCCAGGTGGGTCGATTGGTGAAAATAAGTGAGAAAAAATCAGTGAGAAAAAAAATCCTCGGTGCGTTTTGATTTTAGTGGAAATTTAGATTTCAGGAGGTCTTGTCTTAATTATATGTACTGGGTAGTATAAATGAAATTATATACAATTGTTTAAAATCCCCTCTAGGATCCCCTCTAGAACTCTATGGCAATGCATATTGTAAAAAGAAAGAGGGGGGGGAAATGTCCACTCTAGGATTCTAGAACTCTATGGAAATGCATGTTGTAAAAAGAAAGGAAGAGGGAAAAAAATGTCCACTCTAGGATTCTGGAACTCTATGTAAAAAAAAGGGGGGGAATCCGCTTTCCTAAAATCCCCTCTAGGATTATAGAACTCTATGGAAATAAATCTTGTAAAAAAAATCTTTGCATGACAAATCCCCTCTAGGATCCTAGAACTCTATGGAAATGCATATTGTAAAAAGAAAGAAAGAGGAAAAAAAATTTCCACTCTAGGATTCTAGAACTCTATGGAAATGCATATTGTAAAAAGAAAGAAAGAGGAAAAAAATTCCACTCTAGGATTCTAGAACTCTATGGAAATGCATATTGTAAAATACGGGGGGGAATCAACTTTCCTCGCCTGGAAAACCCCCTCTAGGCTTCCAGAACTCTATGGAAATGCATTTGGGGGGCAGGAAATAAGGTTTGTTTGCATGGGGGGGGATTCCCCTCTAGGATTCTATAACTCTATGGAAATAAATCTTGTAAAAAAAATTCTTTGCATGGAAAAATCCCCTCTAGGATCATAGAACTCTATGGAAATAAATATCGTTTTTAAAAAAAAATTCTTTGCATGAAAAATCCCCTCTAGGATCCCCTCTAGAACTCTATGGAAATGCATATTGTAAAAAGAATAGGGAAAAGAAAAAAAAAAAGGTTCACTCTAGGATCCTATAACTCTATGGAAATAAATATCGTAAAAAGAAAGAGAGAGAAAAAATGTCCACTCTAGGATCCTAGAACTCTATGGAAATGCATGTTGTAAAAAGAAAGAGGGGGAAAAATGTCCACTCTAGGATTCTAGGATCATTGAACTCTATGGAAATAAATATCGTTTTAAAAAAAAATTCTTTGCATGAAAAATCCCCTCTAGGATCCCCTCTAGAACTCTATGGAAATGCATATTGTAAAAAGAATAGGGAAAAGAAAAAAAAAGGTTCACTCTAGGATCCTATAACTCTATGGAAATAAATATCGTAAAAAAAATTCTTTGCCTGGAAAAATCCCCTCTAGGATCCTATAACTCTCTGGAAATAAATATCGTAAAAAGAAAGAGAGAGAAAAAAATGTCCACTCTAGGATCCTAGAACTCTATGGAAATGCATGTTGTAAAAAGAAAGAGGGGGGGGGGAATGTCCACTCTAGGATTCTAGAACTCTATGGAAATAAATATCGTAAAAAGAAAGAGAGAGAAAAAATGTCCACTCTAGGATTCTAGAACTCTATGGAAATGCATATTGTAAAAAAAAGGGGGGAATCCGCTTTCCTAAAATCCCCTCTAGGATTATAGAACTCTATGGAAACACCCGCTCTTCGAAACAGGAAACGGAAAACCAGCTTCCTGGGGAACCCCCTCTAGCCTCCCACAACTCTACGCCCCCTCGGGCCCCGACTCCAAATCGCCCCTCTAGCCCCTCTCTCTCTCTCTCTCCCCCAGGTCCTCCCGCCGCCATCATCCCTTCCTTCCCAGGAGGATGCGTCCCCGGGCCCGCCTCAAAACCCCCGCTTCCTCTTCCTGCCCCGCCTCCCGACGTTAGCCAGGTGACCGCCCTCCTCATGTCCTGCCTCAAGGGGCCCCCGGGGCCCAACAGGAAGTTCCATGAGCTCAACAGGAAGTTCCCCAACGAGGACCTCCTCGCCAACAGGAAGTTCAGCGAGGCCAACAGGAAGTTCCCCCCCAACGACGAAGTCCTCGCCCACAGGAAGTTCCCCCCCAACGACGTCCTCGCCCACAGGAAGTTCCCCCCCAACGACCTCCTTGCCAACAGGAACTTCAACGAGGCCAACAGGAAGTTCCCCCCCAACGACGTCCTCGCCAACAGGAACTTCAACGAGCCCAACGACGTCCTCGCCAACAGGAAGTTCCCCTCCAACGACCTCCTCCCCAACAGGAAGTTCCCCGAGCTCGGCCGGAAGTTGAGCCATGAGGTCCTCGCCAACAACGACCTCCTCGCCCACAGGAACTTCAACGAGGCCAACAGGAAGTTCCCCCCCAACGATGTCCTCGCCAACAGGAAGTTCCCCCCCAACGACCTCCTCCCCCACAGGAAGTTCCCCCCCAACGACAGGAACTTCCCCGGCGACACCTTCGCCGACAGGAAGTTCCCCGCCAACGACAGGAAGTTCCCCCCCAGCGACAGGAACTTCCCCGGCGACGCCTTCGCCGACAGGAAGTTCCCCGCCAACGACAGGAAGTTCCCCCCGGCCATGAGGTCATCGCCAACGAGGGCGTGGCCAAGCCGTTGGACCCGCCCCCCCTGTTCTACCCGGCGACCGGGGCCGAAGTGATAGCCAACCAGTACGCGGTCCCGGAAGTGATAGCCAACCAGTACGCCCTTCCCGCCAGTCCTCCCAGCGCCGAATCCCTAGAGTGCCCCACCTGCGGCCACGCCTACAACTCCGCCCACAAGAGGCCCCGCCTCCTCTCCTGCCTCCATTCGGTGTGCGAAGAATGTCTTCAAATCCTCTACCAATCGTGCCCCAAGTACAAGTTCATCTCCTGCCCCTCGTGCAAACGTGAAACGGTCCTCTTCACCGACTACGGATTGGCCGCCCTGGCCGTCAACACCCGCCTGCTGGCCCGCCTCCCCCCGGCCCAGCCGGCCAATCGGGACCCGCCGCCCTGGGGCGCCGGCGAATCGGAGAGGGGGTGCTACCAGAGCTTCCGGCAGTATTGCGGGGCGGCGTGCAACTGCCGGGTGAGGAATCCGGTGGCTTCCTGCGCTGTCATGTGACTCGAACCCGGGAGCGGTCGGATTTCCCCCGGGTTTCCTGCGCCGTCGTGTGACTTGAACCCGGGATCCCGTTGCTTCCTGCACCGTCATGGGACTCGAACCCGGGACCTGCAAGCCCAGAACGGGACTCGGACCCGGGAGCAGTCGAATTTCCCCCGGGTTTCCTGCGCCATTGTGTGACTTGAACCCGGGACCTGGGAGCCCGTTGTCTCCTGCGCCATCATGGGACTCGAACCCGGGACCCGTCGGATTTCCCCCAGGTTTCCTGCACCGTCATGGGACTCGAACCCGGGACCTGCAAGCCCAGAACGGGACTTGAACCCGGGACCCTGTCGTGGGACTTGAACCCGGGACCAGGGACCCCGTTGCTTCCTCCACCCTCATGGGACTCGAACCCGGGACCCTGTCATGTGATTCGAACCCGGAGCCCTGTCAGGGGACTTCAACCCGGGACCCGGAAGCCCATCATGTGATTCGAACCCGCAACCTGGGACCCGGAAGCCCGTCATGTGCCTCGAACCCGGAGCCTGGAAGCCCGTCATGTGACTCGAACCCGCAACCTGGGACCCGGAAGCCCGTCATGTGCCTCGAACCCGGAGCCCAGAAGCCCGTCATGTGACTCGAACCCGCAACCTGGGACCCGGGAGCCCGTCATGTGCCTCGAACCCGGAGCCCAGAAGCCCGTCATGTGACTCGAACCCGCAACCAGGGACCCGGAAGCCCGTCATGTGACTCGAACCCTGAGCCCGGAAGCCCGTCATGTGACTCGAACCCGCAACCTGGGACCCGGGAGCCTGTCATGTGACTCAAACCCTGAGCCCGGAAGCCCGTCATGTGACTCGAACCCGCAACCAGGGACCCGGGAGCCTGTCATGTGACTCAAACCCGGAGCCCGGAAGCCCATCATGTGACTCGAACCCGCAACCAGGGACCCGGGAGCCCGTCATGTGACTCGAACCCTGAGCCCGGAAGCCCGTCATGTGACTCGAACCCGCAACCTGGGACCCGGAAGCCCGTCATGTGACTCAAACCCGGAGCCCGGAAGCCCGTCATGGGACTCGAACCCGCAACCTGGGACCCGGGAGCCCGTCATGTGCCTCGAACCCGGGACCTGCAAGCCCAGAAGGGGACTCGAACCCGGGACCAGTCGGATTTCCCCCGGGTTTCCTGCGCCGTCCTGGGACCCTGTTGATTCCTGCACTGTCATGTGACTCGAACCCGGGACACGGGACATGGACTCGAAGCTGGGAGATGCAAGCCCAGAAGAGGACTCGAACCCGGGACCAGTCGGATTTCCCCCGGGGTTACTGCACCGCCATGGGACTCGAACCCGGGACACGGGACACGGACTCGAACCCGGGACCTGGGAGCCCGTTGTCTCCTGCGCCATCGATTTCCCGCCGTCGTGTGACTCGAACCCGGGACCCGCCATCCGTCCAATTCCCCCCATTGGACGATTTCCAGGCTCCGCCCAACGGGATTCAGTCATTGGACCGTTTCCGGGCTCTGTCGCCGGGCGGATTACACGCGCCATCCAACGGGACTCTGCCATTGGACGGTTTCCGGGCTCTGTCGCCGGGCGGATTACAGGCAACCACCCAACGGGACTCTGCCATTGGACGATCAGGGGCTCCGTCATTGGAGGATTTCCCAGCACCATCCCACGGGGCTCTGTCATTGGACGGTTTCCGGGCTCTGTCGCCGGGCGGATTACAGGCAACCACCCAACGGGACTCTGCATTGGACGATCAGGGGCTCCGTCATTGGAGGATTTCCCAGCACCATGCGACGGTTTTCCGGGCCTCTGTCGCCGGGACGGAATTACAGGCAACCACCCAACGATTCTGTCAAGGTGGACCATTTCAGGGCCCTGTCTGCCGGGCAGATTACAGTGCGCCATCCAACGGACTTCTGTCATGACCATTTCAGGGCCCCTGTCGCCGGGCAGATTACAGGCGCCATCCAACGGGCCTCTCTCATTGGACAGTTTCCGGGCTCTGTCGCCGGGCGGATTACAGGCGCCAGCCAACGGGGCTCTCTCATTGGACGGTTTCCGGGCTCTGTTGCCGGGCGGGATTACAGGCCCCACCCAATGGGGCTCTGTCATTGGACGATTTCAGGGCTCTGTCGCCGGGCAGTTTATAGGCCATCGCCCAATGGGACTCTGTCCATTGGACGGTTTCAAGATGCTGCCCAAGAGGACTCTGTCATTGGATGATTTCCAGGCTCTGTCGCCGGGGCAGATTACAGGCAACCACCCCACGGGATTCAGTCATTGGGTGATTTCAAGGCTCTGTTGCCGGGCAGTTTATAGGCAATCGCCCAATGGGCCTCTGTCATCCAGGGATCATAGAGAGGGAAGGGACCCCTCCAGGTCATCCAGCCTGACCCCCTGGCAAAGGACCATAGAGAGAGAGAAGGGACCTCTCTAGGACATCCACGGATCATAGAGAGGGAAGGGACCTCTCTAGGACATCCAGCCGGTTGTGAGGGGATCATAGAGAGGGAAGGGACCCCTCTAGGACATCCAGGAAATCCAGCACCTCATTAGGGGATCATAGAGAGGACATCTGGCACGTTATTCGGGGATCAGAGAGAGAGAGAAGGGACTTCTCTAGGACACCCAGCACCTTATTAGGGGATCATAGAGAGGGAAGGGACCCCTCCAGGTCCTCCAGCCTGACCCCCTTTGCAAAGGATCATAGAGAGGGAAAGGACCTCTCTAGGACATCCAGCCGGGTCTTAGGGGATCATAGAGAGGGAAGGGACCCCTCTAGGACATCCAGCACCTTATTAGGGGATCATAGAGAGGGAAGGGACCCCTCCAGGTCATCCAGCCTGACCCCCTTTGCAAAGCATCATAGAGAGGGAAGGGACCCCTCTAGGACATCCAGCACCTTCTTAGGGGACCATAGAGGGAAGGGAACCCTCCAGGTCCTCCAGGGATCATAGAGAGGGAAGGGAGGTCTCCGGGTCATCCAGCCTGACCCCCTTTGCAAAGGATCATAGAGAGGGAAAGGACCTCTCTAGGACATCCAGCTGGTTCTTAGGGGATCATAGAGGAGGAAGGGACCTCTCTAGGACATCCACGGATCATAGAGAGGGGAGGGACTTCTCTAGGACACCCAGCACCTTATTAGGGGATCATAGAGAGGGAAAGGACCCCTCTAGGACATCCAGGAAATCCAGCACCTTCTTAGGGGATCATAGAGAGGGAAGGGACCCCTCCAGGTCATCCAGCCTGACCCCCTTTGCAAAGCATCATAGAGAGGGGGAAAGGACCTCTCTAGGATATCCAGGGATCATAGAGAGGGAGGGGACCCCTCTAGGACATCCAGCACCTTCTTAGGGGACCATAGAGAGGGAAGGGAACCCTCCAGGTCCTCCAGGGATCATAGAGAGGGAAGGGAGGTCTCCGGGTCATCCAGCCTGACCCCCTTGGATCATAGAGAGCGAAGGGACCTCTCTTAGGACATCCAGGGATCATAGAGAGGGAAGGGAGCCCTCCAGGTCCTCCAGCCTGACCCCCTTGCAAAGTTTCCGGCCTCTGTCGCCGGGCAGTTTACGACCGCTGCTCCACGGAGCTCCGTCATTGGACAGTTTCAAGATGCTGCCCAACAGGACTCTGTCATTGGATGATTTCGAGGCTCTGTCGCCGGGCAGATTACAGGCAACCCCTCCAACGGGATCCCGTCATTGGACATTTTCAGGGCCCTGTTGCCGGGCGAAATACGGACGGAGTTCTGCGATTGGACGACTTCCAGGCGCTGCCCAATGGGACTCTGTCATTGGACGATTTCAGGGCTCCGTCGCCGGGCGGTTTCCAGCCGCTGCTCCACGGAGCTCTGTGATTGGACGATTCGGGCTCCATCATGGAACGACTTCCTGGCTCCACCCAAGGGGACTCTGCCATTGGACGACTTCAGGGCTCTGTCGCCGGGCAGTTTGCAGGCAATCGCCCAACCTGGCTCTGTGATTGGACCATTTCCGGCTCCACCCAACAAGACTCCGTCATTGGACGATTTCCTGGCTCCGCCCAACAGACCTCTCTGATTGGACGATTCCCTGGGGCCACATTGTGAGGAATTGGGGGGCCAATGGGGCGGGGCTGACCCCCTTGGATCATAGAGAGAGAAGGGACCTCTCTAGGACACCCAATTGAGGGAAGGGACCTCTCTAGGACATCCAGTCCATTCTATGGGGATCATAGAGAGGGAAGGGACCTCTCTAGGACATCCAGGCGCTTCTTAGGGGATCATAGAGAGGGAAGGGACCCCTCCAGGTCCTCCAGCCTGACCCCCTGGCAAAGGACCATAGAGAGAGAGAAGGGACCTCTCTAGGACATCTGGCACGTTATTCGGGGATCATAGAGAGAGAAGGGACCTCTCTAGAACATCCAGCCTGACCCCCTTGTAAAGGATCAGAGAGAGAAGGGACCTCTCTAGGACATCCATGGATCATAGAGAGGGAGGGAAGGGACTTCTCCAGGTCATCCAGCCTGACCCCCTTTGCAAAGCATCATAGAGAGGGAAAGGACCTCTCTAGGGCATCCAGCCGGTTCTTAGGGGATCATAGAGAGGGGAAGGGACCACTCTAGGACATCCTGGGATCATAGAGAGTGAAGGGACCCTTCTAGCACATCCAGCACCTTCTTAGGGGACCATAGAGAGGGAAGGGAACCCTCCAGGGATCATAGAGAGGGAAGGGAGGTCTCCGGGTCATCCAGCCTGACCCCCTTGGATCATAGAGAGGGAAGGGACCTCTCTAGGACACCCAGCTGGTTCTTAGGGGATCATAGAGAGGGAAGGGACCTCTAGGACATCCTGGGATCATAGAGAGGGAATGCACCCCTCCTGGTCATCCAGCCTGACCCCCTTGCAAAGGACCATAGAGAGGGAAGGGACCCCTCTAGGACACCCAGCACCTTCTGAGGGGACCATAGAGAAGGGACCTCTCTAGGACATCCAGCCCATTCTTAAGGGATCATAGAGAGGGAAGGGACCCCTCCAGGTCCTCCAGCCTCACCCCCTTGCAAAGGACCATAGACAGGGAAGCGACCTCTCTAGGACCTCCATCACCTTCTTACGGGACCATAGAGAGGGAAGGGGCCCCTCCCGCTCCTCCAGCCTGACCCTTCTAGGATTCCTCAGCCCCCCAATTTCCCAGAAAGCTTTACTTCCCCTCCAAGCCCGGGTTCGACATCTTCAGGCGGGGACAATCTAGGATTTCAGCCCTCTATGGGGAAATTTGGGTTTTTCCGGACCTCTCTAGGACCTCCAGCCGGTTATGAGGGGATCATCGAGAGGGAAGGGACCCCCAACGGTCCATCCAGACTGACCCGCCCCATAGAAGCCCCTTTAGGGCGCCATCTTGTCTCCCCTTCTTGCGAATGCCCTCAATAAAGAGATATATATATATATTCCTAGAGTGTTTCAAGGGAAGCCTGGGCGCCTCTGAGCATGTGCAGAGTGCAGATTGGAGGAGGAGGAGGGCCTGGATTGAGAACCAATCGGACGTCGATGGATCAATAATCAATAACACGGGGTTGGGTTGGATAATGTGGGGCTGGATCAATGTTCAATAACACAGGGCTGGATCGATAACCAATAACATGGGGCCAGATCGATCACTAAATATTTGAATGATTTATTGGATCAATAATCAATCACACAGGGCTGGATCGATAGCCAATAAGGTGGGGCTGGATCGATAACCAATAACATGGGGCCAGATCGATCACTAAATATTTGAATGATTCATTGGATCGATAACCAATCCCACAGGGCTGGATCGATAATCAATAATACGGGGCTGGATTGATAACCAATAACAAGGGACTGGTTCAATAATCAATGACATGGGGCTGGATCGATAACCAATCACACGGGGCTGGGTTGATAATCACATGTTGATGGATTGCTAATCAATCACACAGGGCTGGATCAATAACCAATCACACAGGGCTGGATTGATAATCACACGTTGATGGATTGCTAATCAATCACACAGGGCTGGATCAATAACAAGAGGCTGGATTGATAATCAATCACACGTTGATGGATTGATAATCAATCACACAGGGCTGGATCAATAACCAATAACAAGAGGCTGGATCGATAATAACACGTTGATGGATTGCTAATCAATCACACAGGGCTGGATCAATAACTAATAACGAGGCTGGATTGATAATCAATAACACATTGATGGATTGATAATCAATAACACGGGTCTGGATCGATAACCAATCACATGGGGCTGGATCGATAACCAATACCATGGGCCCAGATCAATCGCTAAGTATTTAAATTATATCTTGGATTGATAATCAATAACACAGGGCTGGATTGATAATTAATAATGTGGAGCTGAATCGATAATCAATCACACAGGGCGGTATTAATAACCAATAACACGGAGCTTGATCAATGATCGATAAATCAATAGTGTAGGGCTGGATCGATAGCCAATCACACAGGGCTGGATTGATAATCAAAAACACGTTGATGGATTGCTAATCAATCACACAGGGCTGGATCAATAACCAATAACAAGAGGCTGGATCGATAACTAATCACACGGGGCTGGATCGATAACCAATATGATGGGCCCAGATCAATCACTAAGTATTTAAATGATATATTGGATTGATAATCAATCACACAGGGCTGGATTGACAACCAATAAGGTGGGGCTGGATCGATAACCAATAACATGGGGCCAGATCGATCACTAAATATTTGAATGATTTATTGGATCGATAACCAATCACACAGGGCTGGATCGATAGCCAATAAGGTGGGGCTGGATTGATAATCAATAACAGGGCTGGATCGATAATCACACGGGGCTGGATCAATAACCAATAACGAGGCTGGATCGATAACCAATCACACGGGGCTGGATCGATAACCAATACCATGGGCCCAGATCAATCACTAAGTATTTAAATGATATATTGGATTGACAACCAATAAGGTGGGGCTGGATCGATAACCAATAACATGGGGCCAGATCGATCACTAAATATTTGAATGATTTATTGGATCGATAACCAATCACACAGGGCTGGATCGATAGCCAATAAGGTGGGGCTGGATCGATAATCAATAACAGGGCTGGATCGATAATCACACGGGGCTGGATCAATAACCAATAACAAGAGGCTGGATCGATAACCAATCACACGGGGCTGGATCAATAACCAATAACAAGAGGCTGGATCGATAACCAATCACACGGGGCTGGATCGATAACCAATACCATGGGCCCAGATCAATCGCTAAGTATTTAAAGGATATCTTGGATCGATAATCAATCACACAGGGCTGGATTGATGATGATGATGATAATAATAATAATAATAATAATAATAATAATAATAATAATAATAATAATAATAATAAAATAATAATAATAATAATAATAATAATATAATAATAATAAAATAATAATAAAAATAATAATAAAATATAATAATAATAATAAAATAATAATAATAATAATAATAATAATAATAATAATAAAATAATAATAATAATAAAATAAAATAATAATAATAATAATAATAATAATAATAATAATAATAATAACAACAATAATAAAATAATAATAATAATAATAATAATAATAATAATAATAATAAAATATATAATAATAATAATAAAATAAAATAATAATAATAATAATAATAATAATAATAATAATAATAATAATAATAATAATTCACTCCAGATACAAAAAAGAGCAAAACCAGGAAATTGCAGTTTCTGAATCTATTTATTAGGAGAAGGAAGAGACCTCCAGGGACCATAGAGATGTTCTCCTCATTCCTAGAAGAGAAGGAGAAGAGAAGGTGAGGTTTCAAGCTTGGGGAATGTCCATCAAGATAGACTTGGGAAATGTCCAAAATATAGACTTGGGAAATGTCCATCCAGATAGACCTGACATTTCCCAAACTGGGAAATGTCCATCCAGATAGACCTGGAAGATGTCCATCCAGATCGACCTGAGATTTCCCAACATGGGCAATGTCCATCAAGTTAGACTTGGGAAATGTCCAAAATATAGACTTGGGAAATGTCCATCAAGATAGACCTGACATTTCCCAAACTGGGAAATGTCCATCCAGATAGACCTGAGATTTCCCAACATGGGCAATGTCCATCAAGATAGACCTGGAAGGTGTCCATCAAGACAGACCTGAGATTTCTGCACCCTGGGAATTCTCCATCAAGACAGACCTGAGATTTCCCAAAACGGGAAATGTCTATCAAGACAGACCTGACATTTCCCAAACTGGGAAATGTCCATCCAGATAGACCTGGAAGATGTCCATCCAGATAGACCTGAGATTTCCCAACATGGGCAATGTCCATCAAGTTAGACTTGGGAAATGTCCAAAATATAGACTTGGGAAATGTCCATCAAGATAGACCTGACATTTCCCAAACTGGGAAATGTCCATCCAGATAGACCTGGAAGATGTCCATCCAGATAGACCTGAGATTTCCCAACATGGGCAATGTCCATCAAGATAGACCTGGAAGGTGTCCATCAAGACAGACCTGAGATTTCTGCACCCTGGGAATTCTCCATCAAGACAGACCTGAGATTTCCCAAAACGGGAAATGTCTATCAAGACAGACCTGACATTTCCCAAACTGGGAAATGTCCATCCAAATAGACCTGGAAGGTGTCCATCAAGACAGACCTGAGATTTCCCAACATGGGAAATGTCCATCCAGATAGACCTGGAAGGTGTCCATCAAGACAGACCTGAGATTTCCCAGAATGGGAGATGTCCATCCAGACAGACCTGTGATTTCTCAGAATGGGAAATGTCCATCCAAATAGACCTGGAAGGTGTCCATCAAGATAGACCTGAGATTTCCCAACATGGGAAATGTCCATCAAGATAGACTTGGGCAATGTCCATCCAGATAGACCTGAGATTTCCCAAAATGGGCAATGTGCATCCAGATAGACCTGAGATTTCCCAAAACGGGAAATGTCTATCAAGATAGACCTGAGATTTCCCAACATGGGCAATGTCCATCCAGATAGACCTGAGATTTCCCAAAATGGGAAATGTGCATCAAGGTAGACCTGGAAGGTGTCCACCAAGCTAGACCTGAGATTTCCCAACATGGGCAATGTCCATCCAAATAGACATGAGATTTACCAAACTGGGAAATGTCCATCCAGATAGACCTGGAAGGTGTCCATCAAGACAGACCTGAGATTTCCCAGAATGGGAGATGTCCATCCAGACAGACCTGCGATTTCTCAGAATGGGAAATGTCCATCAAGATAGACCTGGAAGGTGTCCATCAAGACAGACCTGAGATTTCCCAAAATGGGGAATGTCCATCCAGATAGACCTGAGATTTCCCAAACTGGGAAATGTCCATCCAGATAGACCTGGAAGATGTCCATCCAGATAGACCTGAGATTTCCCAACATGGGCAATGTCCATCAAGTTAGACTTGGGAAATGTCCAAAATATAGACTTGGGAAATGTCCATCAAGATAGACCTGACATTTCCCAAACTGGGAAATGTCCATCCAGATAGACCTGGAAGATGTCCATCCAGATAGACCTGAGATTTCCCAACATGGGCAATGTCCATCAAGTTAGACTTGGGAAATGTCCAAAATATAGACTTGGGAAATGTCCATCAAGATAGACCTGACATTTCCCAAACTGGGAAATGTCCATCCAGATAGACCTGGAAGATGTCCATCCAGATAGACCTGAGATTTCCCCAACATGGGCAATGTCCATCAAGATAGACCTGGAAGGTGTCCATCAAGACAGACCTGAGATTTCCCACATGGGAAATGTCCATCCAAATAGACCTGGAAGGTGTCCATCAAGCTAGACCTGAGATTTCCCAGAATGGGAGATGTCCATCCAGACAGACCTGTGATTTCTCAGAATGGGAAATGTCCATCAAGATAGACCTGGAAGGTGTCCATCAAGATAGACCTGAGATTTCCCAAACTGGGAAATGTCC